TACAATCAAGTTAGAACTCAGAATTCAAAAACTAACCCAGAAGCGCACAGCTTCATGGAAACTGAACAACTTGCTCTTGAATGTTGACTGGATAAACAATGAAATGAAGGCAGAAATAAAGATGTCCTTCGAAACCAACGAGAATGAAGACACAACATACCAGAATCTCTGGGACACATTTAAAGCAGTCTCTAGAGGAAAATATATAGCAATAAGTGCCCACATGAGAAGCAAGGAGAGATCAAAAATTGACACCCTATCGTCAAAACTGAAAGAGCTAGAGCAGCAAGATCAAAAAACCTCAAAGTCTAGCAGAAGACAAGAAATAGCTAAGATCAGAGCAGAACTGAAGGAGATAGAGACACAAAAAACCCTTCAAAAAATCAATAAATCCAGGAGCTGGTTTTTTGAAAAGATCAACAAAATAGACAGACCACTAGCCAGATTAATAAAAAAGGAAAGGGAGAATAACCAAATTGATGCAATAAAAAACGATAAAGGGGATATCACCACAGATTCCACAGAAATTCAAACCATCATCAGAGATTATTACAAACAACTCTATGCACATAAACTACTAAACCTGGAAGAAATGGATAAATTCCTGGACACTTGCTTCCTCCCAAGCCTAAACCAGGAAGAAGCTGAAACCCTGAACAGACCCATAACAAGGTCTGTAGTTGAGGCAGCAATTAAGAGCTTACCACCCAAAAAAAGCCCAGGTCCAGGTGGGTTCACAGCCGAATTCTACCAGACATACAAAGAGGAGGTGGTACCATTCCTTCTGAAACTATTCCAAACAATACAAAAAGAGGGAATTCTTCCCAAATCATTTTATGAGAACAACATCGTCCTGATTCCAAAACCCGGCAGAGACTCAACAAGAAAAGAAAACTTCAGGCCAATATCCATGATGAACATAGATGCAAAAATCTTCAATAAAATACTGACAAGCGGATTGCAACAGCACATCAAAAAGCTTATCCACCATGATAAGCTTCATCCCGGGGATGCAAGGCAGCTCAACATAACGCAAGTCTATAAACATAATTCACCACATAAACAGAACCAAAGACAAAAACCACATGATTATCTCAATTGATGCAGAGAAGGCCTTTGACAAAATTCAACAGCCCTTTATGCTAAAAACCCTCAATAAGCTAGGTATTGATGGAACGTATCTCAAAATAATAAAAGCTATTTATGACAAACCAACAGCCAATATCATACTGAATGGGCAAAAACTAGAAGCATTCCCCTTGAAATGTGGCACCAGACAAGGATGCCCTCTCTCACCGCTGCTATTCAATATAGTATTAGAAGTTCTAGCCAGAGCAATCAGCCAAGAAAAAGAAATAAAGGGCATTCAAATAGGAAAGGAGGAAGTCAAATTGTCTCTATTTGCAGACGACATGATTGTATATCTAGAAGACCCCATCGTCTCAGCCCCAAACCTCCTGAAACTGATAAGCAAGTTCAGCAAAGTCTCAGGATACAAAATCAATGTGCAAAAATCACATGCATTCCTATACACCAATAACAGACTTAAAGAGAGCCAAATCAAGAACAAACTTCCATTCACAATTGCCACAAAGAGAATAAAATACCTAGGAATACAACTAACAAGGAATGTAAAGGACCTCTTCAAGGAGAACTACAAGCCACTGCTCAACATGATAAGAGAGGACACAAACAGATGGAGAAACATTCCATGTTCATGGTTAGGAAGAATCAATATCGTGAAAATGGCCATACTGCCCAAAGTAATTTACAGATTCAATGCTATCCCCATCAAGCTACCAATGACCTTCTTCACAGAACTGGAAAAAACCACCTTAAACTTCATACGGAACCAAAAGAGAGCCTGCATAGCCAAGTCAATTCTAAGCAAAAAGAACAAAGCGGGAGGCATCACACTACCGGACTTCAAACTATACTACAAGGCTACAGTAATCAAAACAACATGGTACTGGTACCAAAACAGAGATATAGACCAATGGAACAGAACAGAGGTCTCGGAGGCAACACAACATATCTACAACCATCTGATCTTTGACAAACCAGACAAAAACAAGCAATGGGGAAAGGATTCCCTGTTCTATAAATACTGTTGGGAAAGCTGGCTAGCCATGTGCAGAAAGCAGAAACTGGACCCCTTCCTGACACCTTACACTAAAATTAACTCCAGATGGATTAAAGACTTAAACATAAGACCTAGCACCATAAAAACCCTAGAAGAAAATCTAGGCAAAACCATTCAGGACATAGGTGTAGGCAAGGACTTCATGACCAAAACACCAAAAGCATTGACAACAAAAGCCAAAATAGACAAATGGGACCTAATCAAACTCCACAGCTTCTGCACAGCAAAAGAAACAGTCATTAGAGTGAATCGGCAACCAACAGAATGGGAAAAAATTTTTGCAGTTTACCCATCTGACAAAGGGCTGATATCCAGAATTTACAAAGAACTAAAACAGATTTACAAGAAAAAAACTAACAAGCCCATTCAAAAGTGGGCAAAGGATATGAACAGACACTTTACAAAAGAAGACATACATGAGGCCAACAAACATATGAAAAAATGCTCATCATCACTGGTCATCAGAGAAATGCAAATCAAAACAACATTGAGATACCATCTCACGCCAGTTAGAATGGCGATCATTAAAAAATCTGGAGACAACAGATGCTGGAGAGGATGTGGAGAAATAGGAACATTTTTGCACTGTTGGTGGGAGTGTAAATTAGTTCAACCATTGTGGAAGACAGTGTGGCGATTCCTCAAGGACCTAGAAATAGAAATTCCTTTTGACCCAGCAATCCCATTACTGGGTACATATCCAAAGGATTACAAATTGTTCTACTATAAGGACACGTGCACACGAATGTTCATTGCAGCACTGTTTACAATAGCAAAGACCTGGAACCAACCCAAATGCTCATCGACGATAGACTGGATAGGGAAAATGTGGCACATATACACTATGGAATATTATGCAGCCATCAAAAACGATGAGTTTGGGTCCTTTGTAGGGACATGGATGAACCTGGAAACCATCATTCTCAGCAAACTGACAGAAGAGCAGAAGATCAAACACCGCATGTTCTCACTCATAGGTGGGTGTTGAACAATGAGAACACATGGACACAGGGAGGGGAGCACTACACACTGGGGTCAGTTGGGGGAAAATAGGGGAGGGACGGTGGGGGGTGGGGAGCTGGGGAGAGATAGCAAGGGGAGAAATGCCAGATGTAGGTGATGGGGAGGAAGGCAGCAAATCACACTGCCACGTGTGTACCTATGCAACAATTTTGCATGTACCCCAAAACCTAAAATGCAATAAAATAAATAAATAGGGAAAAAAAACCAAGAGCTATTCAGAGATGCAACACCATATGCTATTTAAATATGGCTTTCAAAATATTTGAATATGATTTGAACTTGAATTGAGCATATGAATGAGGAGTTCAAAAAATGATCAAAACTGTGACCCAGTCGCTGTCCAATGGAATTTTGTCCAATGGAGATATTCAGAAATGTGACAAAGCCTTATGTACAAATAGTTCCATTGCTGTTATTTACAACTGCAAAAAGTAAAATAAAAGCATATAATTTAATTTCTCAATGGCAGAGAGGTGGTTAAGTAAATTGTGCTGGAGCCACAGAATAAAACATGTTGCCATTGAAATTATATTAATGGAGCGGTTAAAAAACTCACAAGAAAATGCTTACAGTCCAATGTCATGTGAACAAACCATAATTCAAAATTTACTATATGGCCTTAACTCTGTAAAAATGCATAGCAAAAGATCATAAGAAAATAAAGTACCTACAATGATTAATTGTTGGATGGGGTATTACAAGTGATTTTAAGTTTTCTATGTACTGTCTATACTTTCTAAATTGAGTAAATTCTATTTTTACTTTAAGAAATAAAAAATTAAAAAATATGTTTCAATGAATGGCAGGCATAGCTGCTTTGGAGAAACATCACAGTCCCCTTCATCAGAGTAATACCATCCAGAAACGATACATCAGGTGGCCCTGGTGAAGGGGAGGTATTTGTGTAATATACAGTATCACCACTAGAGGGTTCTCTCTCAGGAGCTGGTTGGAAGGCATGAGGCTGGGTGCCGTACAGGATGTAAACCACTTTTATTCCCACAAACAGAAGTAATGACTACACAGAGTCCCTGACTTATGATGGCCCAGCTTAAATTTTTGGACTTCATGATAATGGGAAAGCAATACACACTCACTAGAAACCACATACAACCATTCTGTTTTTCACTTTCAGAACAGTATTCAATAAATTACATGAGCTATTCAACACTTTATAATATTCTTTGCATTATGTGATTTTTGCCCAACTCTGTGATAATGTAAGTGTCTTGTGTATGCTTAAGGCAGGATAGCCTAAGCTATGATGCAAACATAGCTGGTAGGCTAGGCCTATTAAATGCATTTTTGACTTATGATTTTTCCAACCCACAATGGGTTTATCAGGACATGACCCCATGATAAGTCAAGGAACATCTGTATTCCCTAGTCAGACTCCTTATGTTCATGGCTGGAGCAGGAAAATATTGCCAAATATGCCCCTTTCAAGAATAGGAGAAAGAAAAAGTTTGCAATTCAAGCCGCTAGCATCAAAGGGCTGTAAAATTATAATATCATTGTACCCCAAAGAAAATTAAACATATGGAAGCCAGCTTAATTCCATGAATGCTGAGATTTCTTATGCCTCTGAGGAGCTTCTGATAACCCATTTACTTCATCCCTCACAGTCAAAACTGGTGAAAGGAAACATGATATAATCATACTCTGTGTATGTCTTTCAGTGTGCAGGCAAAGGCACTTGGTGCCTGAGTTTCATGAGGTGTTTAAGGGAATATAAAAGAGACAGTTGGTTGAGTGAGTTTGGTCAGCCCTAAATCTGAGACAGAACACGGATAACAACGAGAAACATTCAAAGGAAAAAAAACCAGCCTTTTCATTTTTCCAACTCCAATTAAGAGGGTTAACTCATCATTTTTATTTGGTCATCAGAAGAACATACAAGTGCTTATGCATTGCTAGATGCTGGGGGAACATTATACATTGAAGGACTGTCAGGCTCACCTGTGCAATAAAGATTTACAATAAACACATCATTAATTTTTCTGATAGCAGTTCAGTATACTCTTTTTTTACATGAATCCTTACGATGTAATTTTGCATTTGGAGATAGATGCTATGGCATTTGGAAACATTGTTTTAGTACAAAACAGCATCTTAGAGAACAGAACACTCTTCCTTAGAATGGATGGCCATTCTTTTGCCCTGTGATGTACAAATGCAAATTATAACCTGCATTTTATCTGCCAGAAGAGTATTTCACATCATGGAAGTACACTCTATCACTACCATGAAATCAAAACAAATCCATATTACATCTTCCCTTTTGGAAGAGCATTCTCAGAACACATCCTGAAATCCCTTCCTTATTCCTCCAAAGAACTATTTATTCAGCTAGATATTGGTTGGAGGTTTGAGTTTGGGTTCTGCTTGCCTCTCCCTTTTGAGTCTTGCTAAACATTCTTGATATTAATCCAGATATCTCTCGCAAAGCCAGCTGAACAGCAGCAACATCTAAAGCTGAGGAGATGGGTTGAGTTTTCCATTCACACATGCCTAGTGCCCTCATGAGGAGAGGGCCTACAGATCCATGGTGAGTAGGGTCTCTTTAGGATGCATAGCATCCTATGTGACTCACCTTGCTTTGGGTAATTGATTCCCATAAAGACTTCCTTCTTCCTGCTTCCTTTTCCCAATCTATTTCTGCCTCCCTATCTATCCCCAGCGAACTTTGACACCCAAAACTTCCGCATGTGAATTACATGGAACAAGATGCTTTTATTTTTCCGATTATTTTGTGTTTGTATGTGCTAAAATGATATACTGCAAGCAGAATCGGTTACCTGAACAGAAGCAAAAGAAGAAATGTGAAGAGTAGAAAAATAGGAGAAAAAAAATAGAAAACATAAAGAGTTTGAAAAGGAGAAGACACTTAAATTAGATGGGGGGAATCTGGTTGTACAGTGAGCACAAGAGCTGATAAAAGCCTAACCAAGCTCTACAAATGAAAATAGCAAATATATTTTAAAAAATTTTACAGCATATAAAATTGTACAAAAATATCATCAAAGCAAGAAAAAAGGAAATGTATACTCTATAGTACTACCTCTAGAATCAGTTACTGGACAATACCTATGGCTGTAGGTTTTTCCTATACATCTATATATATTAATATAATATGTGACTGTATTTCTGTACCATCACACATATACCCGCTCAAAGACAAGGATAGTATTACACAAATTCTACCCCAAGATAGGTCATGAGAGGGAAGCAAAGACGACAAGGATGTGTCTCAGGGCAATCTATTTAAAACCCACTCTATAGCCATTGGGTTTTAATGGGCTTTATTTTAAATAAGTTACCCTTCACCAAAAACTGACTGAGAAATGTTTCTGCAGGTTCAGAAGCCAGCACTCATGAGGAATACATGAGTGAGATTCAGGAATCCCAGCTGAAGCTGACCAAAGCTGAGAGGATGGGTCTCTAGTTGGCACTGTCACTGGTCCGCAACAGCAAGCATTTACACCCAAGGGTGACAAGGTCTCCTCAGGGGAGGCTGAATGAGTGTGCCCTGAGCAAACTGAAAGGGCCCACACCCCACTCCCTGCTTCTCCTGGCTCAGCAGATGGCAGCCCAGGCTGGGTGCAAGTACAGTTAGTGAAGCCAGCCATTGCCAGGATTAATCCACTTCCGCTTGGGAACAGAAGCCAGAGTAAACATGAATTCATGTCAAATATGTCTGGCAATATTTTTTAAAAAATGAATCAGGTAGGGGTATTTAAGAAAACAATCAGAAATTAATAATGTTTAAACTTGACCACGATACATCTTTCAGTCCAGGTCATCCACTGCACAACTGTTCCTTGTTTAATATGAAAACAAGAAGCTATTTCAGCAGTGCAGTTCTTGTTTCATTCAGACATTCCTGGATAAGCACCCAGTCTTTTTACAAATGTCCAAGGAGAACCTATAGAAGCCTGCTTTCCATTTTTCTAATCTTCCTGGGCCCATGTTCACGATCAGATAAACTGTCCAATGTAAATGACTCTGGTAACATTCTAATTCTAGCATCACCTGTGTGCCCACCAGTGTCTTTGGTGAGAGGAAACCTTAAAAACTGAAATCTGGCCTTGGCAGGTAATATGTCTCTTGATCTCCAGAGGGAGGCTTTATTATAGGAATATCATCACTGCCCATTGCAATTTTTTTATTAAATTCATTTTCTCAGTGATAATGAGGGTCTTAATCATGGATCACAGCGGACAAATTATAAGTATTACTTTCCATTTGTTCATGAATAAGATCCAATATAACATCATTATTGCAACATTATGTTCTTTAACATCTCATTTTGCCACGGTTTGGTGCCGTACCAATCGTATTATTGGTGGAGCAGTACTATGCAGTGATTCCTCATGCTGCACATAGAGGATCTCCTATTTGCTTCAGGATATTCTGTTTAAGGTTTTAAAAGTTTCAACTTGGATTTTCAGTAAATCCACTGATGTTTCATAGAGATTGCTGTCATCATCCCTTTTGGAAAGACATTCTCAAATGAATCCTGTTTTATTGTTTTGTTTTTTTTCTTAAATCAAGAGGCCATAGAAAAGTTTTTATTTTATTTTTTTCATGCATTTGGCTATGACAATTTCTCCCAAATTACCTGCAATTTCCCATCTCTTATGATAAGCTATTTGTGTGAGTAGGGTATGCCTGCATATACTTAGAAGATAAGAAGATAAGCCTTTAGCAATGTGCTTGGCATATAGGAGACGCTGAATACATTTTCAGGGATATTTGAATTTTGTTTGCATTCACAAGTAGATAGTGGAATTCAGTTAGACGATTCTGCATGTGTTTCCTGAATGCTGACCATGTTCCAAGCACTGTGGTGGGCCAGCACCACATCTCCTGTGGGGTGTGTGGGCATCTCCGAATCAGAACAAAGTTTCCAATTAGGAAAAAAAAAAATGTTGCCTGAATTCCCTGAATTTTCTTTATTTGGGATAGAACACTATATACACAGGTTTCCAGTCTCAGACTCTTCTCTACTTCACTACAAGAAAAAGATTTCGTGCTTTTTTTCCTATTGTTTTTCCTAGGCTTTGTGGGGAATGCTACAAATTAATTTCCATTATCAAAATCTCTGCTCATAGATTAAGAAAGAAGAAAATATATTACATTATCTATCTATCAATCAATCTATCTATCTAAAGAAAAGTGACCCACGAGAGAAGTGATACTAAAATAAACAATATCCGTACTTCCAAAACATGGATAACAAAAATTGGTCTCCAACTTTTTGGATTACTGTCTCACATCCCGTGATAATGTTGCTTTTTACTTTTCACTTTTGTATTTAAAGGCATGGTCCATGTAGAAAATATAATATCATGACTTAAATTCCACAAATGAATCACATGTGCACTAGGTTATTATTTGGATCTCAGATGTTTAGGTATCATTTTACTATTTAACTGTATCAGATCCACAACGGGATCATGTCAAATGTTTTCAGTGGTTTTTAAAAGCTCCAGAAATGAAATGGACAGAACAAAGTCCATTTGAATTTAATGGGTTAGAAATGAGTCTTTTGCCTGCTGCCATAAACCATTAGGGCTCATAACCTGAGAAAGTTGGCACGCACACACAAAAATGGAACAAAAGCCTCCATAAGAATGGGTCATTATGCCACTGAAACATACCACATTAACACAACTTAGATGTAGAGCTATTTGGTGATATGGGGACCCAAATTCAAGGGCTAACTTGATTTGTCACATTTTACCCAGGAATGTGTAGAGTGTGTGGTTATGTCTGTGGTCGGACTGTCCCTATTACTGTCCCCACATACAGGTCAATTCTTAATTAAGGAGTCTAAGCCCTTGCTATGTGTGTGTAAACTAGAGGAAGATGCCATAATCTGTGCAACAAAATAATGTTTGTCCAAAATTGCTGTTTAACTTGAAGAAAACTGTTTCAAGGGAATTAAAAGACCAAAGAACATAAGCTAGAGCTTTGGAAATATTGCTGTTCCAGTCAGCACTGATTTGGAATAATTATTTTAATGTTTTATCAGCTCCAGTATCAAACCATAGCATCATCTAATATAGTAGTTTGTATTTTTAATAGATAACTTTGCATTTTTACTCAATACCCCTTCAAAACACTTTTTAAAGATTTAAAGCTAAGAGTGAGTTACATGGAGTTTTGTTTTACTTCACTGAGAGTTTTTGGTGTAACTTTTCATTCTTTACGGAATGAAATTCTCTTTCCATTCTTTTTCAGTTGATTAATGACTTAAAGTAAATGAAAAACATTTCCATTTTTATCAGTGCTAGAAAAAAATGGCTATATTCCTGTTTCTTTTTCAAATGTTGTTGTGTGTAGCTTGTTGGATTATAAAATGGAAGCTGTAGACTTTCTATTTTGGCTGGCCAAAAAGCTCCACATACAAAAATACAGAATATAAATGAGGTAAAAGGTCCAGGTTTCAAGGTCAAAAGTTGACATACACTTGGTTATATTTAATTTCAATACAAAATCATACCACCTCTAAGAACATAGTTTGCAAACTGATGTCCCATAGATTGAACACAGCTTACAGGCATATTTCATTTGATTAGCACAGTGTTTGTAAGTTTTTGGGTTAGTTGTCAATATGTGAAAATTTGGAGAGGGTTTATATCAAATCCTAGGTATCTAAGACCCCCATCGTCTCACAGCTCAAATCTAGTAGCTGCCTACCGACTACCCCTTTTTGACAGCACTCACCCTCTCCAATTTCTTAAAGTCCCCATTGCTCCTTCCTGTCTCACTGATACAAAGGCGCACTACGAATTGCCATTTACCACAATGACTGTGATATTACATGTCTTGTTTCATTCATTTACTTGACCTGCTAGGTTCTTGAAGCCATTTGAATTTGTGGCCCTATTATGTAGTGAGGTCATTGTTAGGAAAGCAGGGAGCATAACAGAAAAAGCTAAGTGTTTCTCCAAGGCAAAATGTAAAGCTGGCAGAAGAAATCTGTTTAAACATCAGCCTGCTGTTGTGCGTTCTGTACAACAAAGTTCTACAAATCTTTCTGTTGGGGGAACATTTCAGCAAGGCAAAGGTCTTGGTAGACCACACACAGTCTCTTTCTGAAAAATGCCAATATTTCACCTTAGTAAAGAAAGGACGTTTAAATATCTGTTTTTGTGCTTTTTTACGTAGAAATTAAATCTGTAGCGGGGAATACACTTAAAACTATTGCCTAGCTCTCTTTCTTCCTATTACTAATCCCTACTTCATCACCAGCATGTGCTTTACTCTTGGGAAGGACTCAGAGATTCCTATGTAACCACACCCCATTTTAAGAATACTTTTATCCAAATCACATCATTTAGACCCATAAAATCACACTTTACTTGCACTCCCCTAGATCCCACCTGTAATTTGGTTTCAAGGGGGCTGCAATGCTATTCTCTTTCCATGCTACATCTACTATTCTTATTTTTGATCCATGCTATTAATCCACTTCTACCTTGTGTTTTTAAAACTCGCTAAAATGCAAAGATTTATCTGCCATATCTCCCTGATACTAATTCCTTTAGCACTTTACTGAATAAAAAGAAGAGTGATGAAGTCAAACCACAGATATCCAAAACAAGATGACCAGCCAGTGGTAAAAATGTCAGTAACTACTTAGTTACAGATGCTACCAGTGAAAACAATAGGTTCCCACTCAACAGTATGGCCATCAGCTGAACATTCAGGTTTATACTAATGAATGCACAGAGAAAATAAATTAAGCATCAAATAAAGATTCCTATAGAATAATCTTTTTTTTTTTTTTAAGAAAACAAACAGAATTACATATTATACATGTGGGGGAAAAAAGCATAAGAACAATTTTAAGTCTGAAAGGAAATTGGATTAAACTAATGTTCCTGACTCAGGAAAGGAACCAGAGACTGGAATCATCATCTTTGCTGTGACGAATGTTAGCATGGCTGTATCGTCAGTAGCCAGTGCAAAAATGACAACATTTAAAGTAACAGCATTGACAGTCATAAAATGGCAATTACTGTGTGTGTGGCTTTTTCAGGCCTCTCCCAGCATATCCAGGATGTCCATTCTCATCAGGTAAGACAGGTGCCTTGAAAGCCAGGTCATTAGCAAAGGATTTTGAGGATGCCCCTTCATGTTCTATTTCTGTTAAAGAGTAAAAATCTCAAGTTGTTTGGTTTGTTCAGGGGAATATCTCCCAGAGTTCTAAGACCTCAAACCACCCCCAAAGAGTCATCCCCTGGTAGGAGATGGTGTGAGAGAAGGCCAAGGGTTAGAAGGGGGGCTTGTTTTTGAAAGTTGTACACCTTCTCCAGATATGGGTCTTTGTGGAAGAAGGAGAAGAAGGAGAATGAAGAAGCTCAGCTAGAATGATGAAAGACATTGGCAGCCTCTTTTATTGTCTATGAGGTCTTTTTACTCTTCTGAATCTGAAAAAAAGAAAAAGAAAAAGAAAAGTGTCAATGCTGCCTTTCCCCCCGCTCCACCCTCCAAGTCTGAGGAGAAGAAAATCTAGGGGACAAAAAAAAATGGGGGAACCAATTAAACATTTCCATAGTGGTCATTGCTGTCTCCTTCGTAACAAGGTTTATTCTATCCTTCATTAATTATACCTTGCAGTAATAGTTAATGAATATTTGCAGTATAACCTATTCATGACATATTACTTGTGTTTCAGAAATTTTATTAAATTCTATTTAATTGAAAAAAATACTGCAAAGTATAATTAATAAAGTAAGAGGAAAATCTCAGTGTAAAACTGTGAATACCAGTACATTTGAAATCTTAATAGTTGCTATAAACTAGCAAACAATTGATCATGCAATATGGATATTAAGCTACCTTCTTTTGCAATCAAGATGACAGTTTTATTGCTAGATCTGGTCAATTTGTCTCAAGGTCAGTGGGATTGGAAGAAATCAGACTCATCTAATCCCAACTGTTTTCATACAAAAAGCAATGCTCCTCTCTCTCAGAATTCTTGCCCCACGCTCAGAAGTTTCCCACAGACATTTAAAGCAAGATGCATCCTAGCCCAAATTGTTGTGCAGATAGGTGAATCACCAGAGTTCTCCACTGGACCCAGAGCAAGGGTGTGGAGGAAGAAGACAAAGATGGAAACAGAACTAAATTAACAAAAACAATATTGGATTTTTTTTTTTTAACCTGGCATGCTCTACCCCATGTAACCTCAAAGGTCTTTGACAGAATTTAAAACTACAACAACAAACCCACCATATTATTTCTTCCCATTGGTGTTACATGCTCAGCAAGTCATCATGTTTTATAGTTAAAAAGTGTTCCCTCCGGTGCAGAGCTCCAGTGGGCTAGCAGTACAGTGGTCTGGACTTTATGAAGGGTAACACCATGAACTACAGAGATGTTAGAAGCCTTTACAGGACAAGGAAAGTTTCCCATTCAACTTTAAGGACTAAGATATTCTCCTAAGATTTAGCTGAATGTAGCAGAAAACTCATTGGGAGATAGGAGGGCTCCTTCTGATCTATTGTAATTACAATCAATTCTCAATTTTCCAGGGGCCATTGATCCAAGCTTCCTGCTGTCCCTCTAACTTTATTATGTTCTTGACTGTTCATTATGTTTATTCTCCATTAACACCTTCACCCATTTGGGAGAAATAACAGACAAAAGTAAGGCTTCAGACCAATCACTTTACTCCAATACTAGCACTGATAAACTTGCCAGTGAGAGAAGGAGATGAACAAAAGCTGAAATCAAGGATGAGAAATTTTTCATTGATGCTGATAGTCTATGCACAGTTTGGTCCACATGGGAATTGCAATACAGGACTCTGTTCTTAGCACTCTGGCTCTGCTATTATCAACTTGGGGTCATATGTCATGAGGCTTCTTTTAGAGTCATCATAATATTAACCATATTCAGAGATGTCTCGAGATCCTCAAAGGTAAAATCCAATTTTGTTGGGATAACAGAAGGTTGGGTTTGATTTTTTAATAACAGACCCATTGGATGGAAAGAAGCTAGGGACAGGTAGCTGGGGACAGCTGATAAGGACCACTATTAAACTCAGTGAGCCTCACCTGACCAATAATGCTAGTGATGCACGATCCAGACTGCTGAGTCTCATAGATGGAAAGAGGCATATCTAGGGTCTTAATGAACTGCAAAGGAGATCTTCCTCCATTTCTAATTACTGCTTATGGTTGAGATGGTGGAGTGTTCCCTCTGGCTGGGGATCTCCATCCTCCCCTCCAGCGTTAGGTCAAGGGGTGGAGGGAAAGGCTGAATAAAAGAAGTTTGTGTGTTTAAGCTGTGCCTGTGTTTACCGTCATTAAATACAACCAGCAGTAAAAGAACAAAAATCGTATGTTTTATAGTTGGGTCTGTAGAATATGTCTGATATACCTGATGACTTGAGTGATCATCTGTGGCCTTCCTAAACACATGTCCTCTAAAAGTAACTTGTTTGTGAATTTCTTAAGGCACTTAAGAAATACCCGATGGTGCCTATGTCATAGCTATCTGCAAAATGCTCCAACCCAGACTGCTGACTCCTGGGGAGCAGGGAAAATATCTCATTTATCATTTTGAACACTCCTTGCATGTAGTGCAATGCCTAACACATAACATATGCTCAATAAATTTGTTGTTAATGAAAAAGAAGAGAGTGGAATAAGCATGAGGAGGATGGGACTGATAAGGTGTGTTGATGAGTAGAAGATTTCCCTCCACCCATTTTCTAATTTTGACTTTCACAACATGGAATAAAAATTAAAAAGGAAACAATAAACACATTAATTACATATTTTATTCAATAGTAAGGTATGGTATGTCAAAATGTTTATATTCCCTATGAAGGCTGCCAATTATGGATGGCTTTCTATGGAACAAATCTCCCAGAGAAGGACCACCTGCTTTTCAGGCAACTTTGATACAGTGTATAAATGAGGCTGGTCCCCTTTTCACTCTACATTCTATCTTTCATTGTGTTTGGTTTTATGTATTTGTTTTCAATATAAACTGAAACTGAGTAAGCATCTGCAAGACTACAAAGTATCTGAAAATGAGGACCCTGAAGACAAAGTGTTAAAATGCCACTCTGCATGTAACTGAGATGCATGGCTTTTTGAAGGCCACAAAAAGTAGTTAAATCCGCCCACTCTTTTAAGAGTGACTGATGAATTGAAATGGAAACTCTCTTGCCAAATCTTGGAATAATTCAGGAAAATATTTAAGTGCCTGCCCCTCACCCAAGACTTTTTATATCTCACATAGTAAAGCTGTGAGGACTTTAAATGCTGAAGTGCAAATACATGGTATATGATTTCACAGAAATGTATTTACTCTATGAAAGCAAATAATCATGTTTCAGCAACTTCATTTAGAAAAATGGGCAATTTACTGTATGGTAACACGCTACTCCCACAGGTATGTCCAGATGCTGGATGTAGGCCTTAAAACCATGTGATTTAAAGGTAAATGGTTCTAGAAGAAGATTAAAGTTCATGTTAACATGACTTGATTCTAAAAATGTGTTTATTCATTATAATGTTTATTTCTGGATCACAAATGGAGTGTCAATGAGGCAGCCCTCATCAGAATTTGTCACTGGGCTTAAAAAACATTTTAGACGCATTTCTCTTCCATTTTTCTTGGATTTGATTTTTTTTTTTTACAGCCTGATTCAACTATCGCCTAAACTCAAAAAAGTAACCTGACTTGGCTGAAGAGAGAGCTGGAATTCAAAAACCAGATTTTAGGTCCTAGTAACTCTATATCATAGCTGCCTCTGCTTGGAGTCAACTTTCTACAAAAACAGCAAAGTGAAACAGCACACACCTGACAAATTATAAAGCTCTAAAATAGAAAACAAAAGGAAGAATATGCGTAGGGAAGCCAAAACCAATTTCAAATGTCCTGTAAGATTTCTATTGGGCACATGAATGGGTCCTGGTTTTGTTTTTTAATAATAAGAAAACACTAAGAAAAAACATAATTTTAGAGCTATCTGTTAGGCTTTATCCAGGTATGGATTTCATTGTCCTAGCTCACAAATACATACTTGACAGCTATTTTAAAGGGCTATTTTCAATGTGTGCCTGCTTTATGCTTGCCCTAAACAATTGAGCATATTATAATAGGATTATCCTAAATTAATTTTCACTACAAATAATATCCATGCTACAGCACTGCTAAGACAAAATCCTCTCAACATGTATTATTCCAGCACAGAAAAATAAAATAGACAGACACATAGATAGATAAACCAGATGATTAATTGATTGATAGACAGATAGACAGATAGAGATGGATGACATTTGTGGGAATACAACTTCTTAAAACCTTGCCTAGGCCATTGTCTCCTAAAATTTACCCATTTGATCCAAACACACAGAATAAAAACTGTACAAAGAATGGTTAGGTTAATGCAAAAGTAATTGTGGTCTTTACCATAACTTTCAACAGCAAAAACCATATTTACTTCTGCAGCAACCTAATAGTTCTCAGGTCCAACCCTTTCCCTCTTTGTCTTTCCTTTTGCTTCATTGTATCTGTGCTACCACTGAAAATAACAATGATGTTAAACTCATCCTTTTTACCATTGTTGCTTTCTTTCTTCTTTTATTTAGCATGTTCTTTCCAGCATAAAATATGTGAACAACTGTCTCTGTTGTGTCCTACACTGCACAAGGTATCTTATTGCTATCATGCTCTGTTTTAAGAATGTAATACATTAACACAAAGGAAATGATTAAAACACTGAGCTCTCTAAATGCCCCCAGGGCCTGGCCCACTTTTAGCAAACAAGTAAAAGTCAGGCATCATTAGCTCCTACAATTCCTCTGATGCTAAGTCAACATCCCTGATTCAGAGGTGCAGGAGAGGGTAGAGTTAAGCACACTTGTCTGCACAAAAGAGTTTTGTTTCTGATCAGTCTTTGAATCTGTGAAGTCAGGAAGATGCCAAGGACCATAAAAAAAGTCCTTCAGATCAACTAAGTGAGGCTTGGATTTTAGACCTGAAACATTCTGACTATTCTTAGTTCAGGAAAAGCAGAAAAGATTCCAAATGAGTGGAAGAAACAAACAAGTATCTTCTCATGTTTTCATTATGACTCCAGGGCACAGAATAAAAATAGCATATATTGTAGAGGGATAATACTTATGAAATGTAGATGTCCTCACTTAAGCAGAGTGCCCTTCAGTGGAGAATGCTAAGAAAAAGTCAAAGGGGGGAAGCTTGAATACTTGCTGAATATTGCATTTTAATAGCTTTTTTTAAACGTGGGTGTCTAGACAAGAAATGGCATTCCCAAGGTAGCTAATGTTAGGTTCTGCCTTTGGAACATATTTACTTCAAAGGTACCTGTTATTTGAAATAACTTTTATAATGTTAACAGAGTTTCTTTTGGCAAATATATTGTTACTTGTGTTTCTCCAGTTCCTTG